CAAGGTCGCATGGTGGTAAATCTCTCTCGGATCCAAAAGGGTTGCCATTGCCTGCGGTGGTGAAGACCTGGAGCAGACTTTGGCGAAGCTGACCTCGGGATTCCGGAGAACCACAATGGCTTAAGCAGCAAATTTCTGATAAATGGTGATTATACTGGGACCCGGCACAACCAGCGAGGACGGGTCGTTCAAGCATGGACCATAGACTCGGATCATCGGCTCTGAGGAAGACGAAGACGTCGAAACGTTAGGAGGAAATAAATATCATTATCAACCTCGTGTAAGCTCATCAGAGAAAGAATACACTACATTGTGTTGAGTACGAAATGCCCTCAAAGGTGCTTATGGCGCAGTGGTCGAAGGTGCCCTGCAACACACACGTGGAATCGATCCCATGCTGTTGGCCCACGAAGCATTCCATTTCTCCAGTGTTGGAAAACTGTTACGAGACTTGTCTAGGAGGATCGCAGACTGGTTCGATACAACGGTAGGCCACCACGAGTCATTGTAAAGGCCAGAGATGTATTCAATCGCCTCCTAACGATACTTAATGAAGTCGAAAGCATGGCACATCCCTCAGGGATTGATCAACGCGAAGATCTCTATCCTTTTTTATCCTTTATGAAATGCCGAATTTAGCAGAAACATTTCTTAGTAAACGTTCTACCGGGTACTTTAAATAAAAATATTGTTCTACAGTAGACGACAGAGACTCCGTTTCATATAATGCTTTATCTAAACTAGGCAATTACAGCAGAATTGAAAGAGAGGCATGAATACGTAAGTTTTCACACAAAGTTAAATTTGGAGTAAATCATCGAGAGCGGTTGACTTTATTGCCGTTCGATTTGCTTATGGAACTCTAAGTGGGCGTTCTGTCCAATGTTGGATTTACAATTTTCGTAATGAAGAGCTAGGAAAACAAGTAAGGTAGCGGGCCATCTGAGGGCGTTCATAGAAGCAGATCCACGCCCAGCTTTTAGAAGATTCTAGAAGAACTAGGATTAGGTGAAATGACAGTTGCCAAATTCCTCATTGTGGCCTAAAAAATCAAAAGAGCGCTTCAAAAGGCGCAACATAAATAAGATGAATTGCAACATGATCTTCTATGAAATCCACTTTGTGCTTTTTCTGTTGCACAAAAACAATTCGTTGCCTATTTGCGCTGTAAGATACGAGGAAAGTGAATCCTTAATACTAACTGATGGTTTTCTGCATGCGTGTGACATCAACGTCATCTTTTGCAATTAAAATTACAATTAAAATAAAGTTATAAAAATCTCATAAGCTATGAAAAGAGTATCAACCATTGCAATTGACTCTTGAGGAAACTATGGTAGTAAAAAGTATTGAATGAAAGTGGATGAAATGCACCAATATCTATTGTGTCTACAACGGAAGATGGTTGTCAGAAAAGGTCCGATCTTCTTGCACAGCAGTGTTTAATCACATTGAACCGTTAGCGCACTATAGAAGAGCGACTCACTGATGAGAAGAAATTTTGCCTCGGTAACCGCACTCATCAGTTTTGTCTCCAACAGACTACAACTTTTGCAACCACCTCTGGTTCTAAAAGAATATTGAACGGTACGGTCGTTGCTGGAATTGCAATCAAAGGATGCGTTATTTCGAAACTTGAGACTGATAGGACAGTACGTTTACATTTTTATTTGCTGCCAGCTACAATTTTTGCGGCAGGGTGTTATGAGAAATACAATCACAACGATGCTGGGATATTTGCAAAAGTCCGGACTGCAGGTGATTTGCGGTGGGGAACGAACGCGCTATTTTCCTTTGCGAGGGCTAACGCGTTAGCCACCACACCATTTAAGTCTTTCGTTTCGCCAGTACTTTAAGCGTGAAACGATGGTATATTATAGATGCCTGAAAATCGCATGGCTACATGAATGTGAACCAAACGCTTTGAGAGAAACAGCTAAAAGCGATCTGTGGTTTGTGTGTAAAAATCTCTTTGAGCGTCAAATATAATTATCAGTTGCACAGACATGGGAGAACCGTCAAGCAGGTAAGTGCGGACTATTAAGTCGAACTCTGTCAGTTGCTTATTCAAGACACCGAGACGTGACCCATTAGCGCTTACCTTCTTCTACACAAAATTCTTAACTTTTCTGAACCGTTATCAAGCAAAGCAATTCTCTTTAACCCTCTACAATTCACCTATAAACTCAGATTTTTAATATATTCTTTATTTTGAGAAGGAGAGAATGTTAGGAAGGATTTTGGAGGGTTTATGGACAAACAATAGTTATACAATAATTTATCAAACAATTTAGGTGAAAGTACTGTGTGATCTCCTTAGAGAAATAATCATTCATTCTACTTTGTTTTCAAACGTACTTGGATTTTTTCACCAGGTAGATCTTCTTCCAACTTGTTTCCAGTGCTGTTCTTTTTCTTACCTTGTTGGCTTGCCTGAGCCTCTTCACTAATTAAATGGCAGTTCCTGAAGAAATGGCAAGGTCGCAGACGATTGATGTTTTGAAGGAATTTCTGATTATTGCGTATACCTTTTACGTCACACCGGAGCAACCTCATTGTCCACTAAAATGCGGGGGCTAGCGGCTTTGACGAGATGGTGTTATGTTGTAGGAACAATCTTTTGCTATGAGAAAGGTAAGGAGATGCTAGAAGAGTTCTCTTTTCATACTGCGTTTGCGGTAGCAGAATACTAGAAATATTTTGCTACGATTTGTTCACCATCGATGAAGCAACCTCCTGTTGAAATCCACGCTTACCTGATTTAGCCGTATCCAAAGTCCCTCATATGATAAGGATTCCAAAGTGTAATCTTTGTAAGAAACTTGAGACGACGCTCGAGAATAAGAGATTCATTACGATGCTATTTATCCTTCTGGGGCAGGAACGCAGTTTATGAGACTTCTAATCGACGGCTCGAAATCCATTCGCCTGGAAATATGCTGCTATTTTGGTTCCTAGACGTGCTTTATTTCATGGCTTCCATCTCCAACGTAGTAGTCTTTTTTCGTTTCCTCCGCAGTTGAATCACTCGTTATCTCTTTTATCAAAATGCGAAAATAGAGAAAAGGGTTCCATGGAAATCCCTTTGGCAGGAATTTTGAGACTGATACGAACAGTTCCCAGGATCGACTTTCTCTTTCTACTGATACGAACGTTCCGTAGTGATAAAAAAGCATAACATTTTCATTACCTCTTTAATATCATTTTCGAAAGTTGCAATAGTTTAGAGGCCTTCAACTGCCTCTCTTCCGAATCGTTACAAGTTTCCTTGAAAGGATTTTCTACAACCGGTGACGACATACAAGCCTGCTAGTTGCACTGCAAATTGCATAATGCTTCAATTTCCTTGTATTCTTAAGGTGGAAAAATTTTCACATAGAAAAGCAGAAACGTGTTCAGTATAACTTTAGATCCTTCGGTAAGCAGTTTGTAATCCACGGTTGTTCTGCCTTTATCTGTTGGTCAAGTGATGAAAGATTTTCGTTAGGAATCTTCTCGTCACTCCCAAATTCTACTGCCCTGATAAGAATTCTTTCAAAGTCAAAATGACATAATTGTTAGATGATAGGGTGGTAGCTCAGATTTCAAAAATTTTTATAAAACTAATGTATTTAGTAATAAAAATTGAGTACGATATGACATTCTAACGAATCGCACTGGACTGCTGCAAGCTTTTAAGTTGCAACCTGCCCTCTCTTCACGGTTTCTTCCAGATACGATGGTCCCAGAAGAGTAACATGCAACTGTTTCAGTATAACTCTGAAAATGTTGTACAAAAGATGGATAAGCGTTTGTCTACAAAGTAAAATAGGGAGACACAGAACATTTCAAATTCATACAAATGATCCGCCACCGAGAAATGAAGTATTGTAACTTCATAGGATATTTGAGCTCCTCCGTTACAAAATCTGTTAATAATGCAATCACAATGATGCTCAGATATTTGCAAAACTCCGGACAGCAGGTGCCTGCGGTGGGTACGAACGTGCTATTACTCTTTCCGAGGTCTAACGTGTTCACCACCACACCATACAAGTCATTCGTTTCCCGTCTCGCAGCTAGTTCTATCGATCAGTACAATCAGCAATCACCAGTCAATAGGATTGACCCACCCTTCTGTCAATAATGATACGAATTTATCAAACAACAAGATTTCTAAAGGCACGATTACCCCTCTGCTCAGGGAATTTTGTTCACTGGTGGAACGTCATAACGACCGAACGATTTCATGTTACGGTGAAACCAGATCGCTTAAGGTATTAAGCGATTTTCATCACATGAAATACCCGACGACAATAAAGTATGGCCGTCCTGTTTATGTGGTTTAGTTGTAAACAGAGATTCTGTCCAATTCTCATCTATAAAACTCCAAACATCCAACAAGAATAACGAACAATTTATGCAGCTGAAAAAGAAAACTTCCACACAAATGTGACTCCCGCAAGTTTTCTATAGTATGAATAACTTTTTAACCTTTTCCTAGACGTTTTGCCCCAAAATTTCTACTTTAGTCCTATTTTTCCGGCCTCCTTGCTTTAGAACTAATCTAGTTAGTTAAGAAGAAGGAAAGGATTCATGCTTCTACACTGAGATGACTAATAGCTTCGTTATTCGATCTGATCCAACTTTGAGAATGTCGAATGAGATGACAAATGAAAATGCCTGATTGGAACTGAATAGTTTTCGCTGCTTTCTCAGCATTCTGAAGAAACAAGATGATGTGAAGAAACAAAACCAATTGAAACTTAACTATTGTCCTGTTCGTTAATATTCGTGGAATTTGCTAACATTCCTTTTGTGCAACCAATACAAAACTTTCTGCTAATTCAGGGATGCAGTAGTACGAAAAGTGAAGTAGCCAAGAGAATGGAAGAACTGATAATAAAGTGATATAACAAAAAGGAGAGCCGATCACAGGGCTGAGTCAACGACACTACACGAGAGTAGCCTAAGCGAGAAAAAACTTTTCAAAGAATCTACAGTAGTTCATATGGAAAGGTTCAAATAAATCGATACAGAAAGAAAATAAAGAACACAGATAATGGAACGAAACTATATGATGTTGTGGAAAAGTTGCACAGATTTCCCGAACAACAGCAAATGAATCCGAGATTGTTTATAGATTCGCATGTCTCTTGAATGCGGTAGGTCTGACAAATCGACGACACTCCAGTCCCATCGCAGTACCTAATCTGAAAAGAAAAACATCGCTCTACTATTTTCAAACAAACTCGGATGAGTTAGGATGAAAAAAGGAAAGGGCCAAAGTGCGATAGCGGTCTAGATAATCGGTCGGAAAATGTTATTTAACCAACATTACTGCGGCAAAATTTTTGATTTTTTGTTCTCATGTGGTGAATCCAAAGAAACACTAAAGTCACAGCCAATTTATCATAAATTCTTGGTGAACAGCGTTTTTCACTGCTTGTAGCACTTTTCCCACACAACAGAAGATCATATTGGCGCTCCTGTAGCACAGTGTTTAGAGCTGCCCTCCTATGCACATGCTGTCGATGGTTCGATCCAACCCTAGGGCAATCCTAGTCCACCATCCCTTCGAATTCGTTAATTTCTTATCAATTGTTTGGAAAGATAAAAACACTAGCTTTACACAGTGATGAGTTACCGAGAGTCATTGTGTAGGCAAAATATGCATTCAATCACCTCCTCGGTATCACGAATGAAATAGAATGCATGGTGCATCTCTCAGGATTGGCGGAAACGCCTTATCCTTTATATCTGATAGCTGACGACAAAAAGCATATTGATTTCCTTTGTTTCTAGTGTGGAAATTAAACGCGTAAAGCCTTTACAAAATAGCTCCTTAAAGAAGGACTACGATGAAATTTTTTCAGCGTTTCCTTCTTCTCACCGTTTACATCAGTACGAATTCAACAAATTATGGAGCAAAAGTTCTCCTTCATTATCACTTATTGTAAGCCTTCACTTTATTAAAAAAGGAGTCAAACTATGAAACTGATGCAGAGAAGATATTTCTGCTCATAAAAAACGAAACTGCATACGCTAACCCAAGCAAGACAGTTAAGGGCCTTTAAGGAAAGTCAGGGCAGGTATAACATCCCAGTATGTCTACCACATGATACTCACTTTGACCTTTGCATAGTATGTTCTTTTCGCCATTGTCTCCTAAGTGCCATAGTGGATGCTTGCTTGTATGCAAATAAAGAAAAATGACACATTTTAGGGTCGGCATTTTGCTTGTCGTCGTTCCATCATACCATTTTTCAGTGAAGTAAGTGAATCAGTCGTACGCATGAAAATCCTATTTGGTTGGCCGAAAAAAAACAACCGGTAGTTTCCTTTTTCCTGCATGTGTTTTAACAGTACTTCTTTTGTTGCGAATACTGTACCATTATATACCATTGTAAAGCTAATTTTATGCACTTTTGCAGTTGCAGCAGTAGTTCCAAGCGTAGGAAATAGAGCAATTGTTCATGTAATTAGGATTTGGAGCAGTGCTTGCGTGGATCTTCATCACTGACAGATCCCCAGCTGGTTAGTAGAGGGTGGACGAGGAGGATGTCTCTCCAGGTGACGGGCAAATGGTTGAACGCTAACCAAATTGACCTTCTGCTTGCTTTGAGAAGCAGGTGGATTCGGAAGATTGATGCCTTTTTGTAGGTATGTAGATGTGCTGAAGGTGTAGGGAATTGAGTGCTCTAGCCTATATGCGGCATCTATCCTGCACGACGATTCAGAAAACCTTGCACTCAAGTGACTGATGAGTACATTGAAGTGGTTCGGAAACGGCTCCAGCAATTAAGCTCCTCGCCTATTCTGAGAAATTCTGGAATGTTATCCGTTAGCAATTACCGTCAAAAATAGCGAAGAGCAATCGGTTGTATTCGTAGAACTTAGGGAGGAACATGATATTTTTTGAACACACTTGACCGAGCAGAATCTACTCCGTAGATAGTTCTTGGACGCGGGAACGACTGATGAAGGTTTTTCTTGCTCGTATCATTAGACTACCAACTGAATGCTGTTGATACAGCTTGGCATTAGCAGTTAGTGGACTAATTTGCTGTCATATTCCGGGTATCAGGCATCTATTGTTTCTGAACAGTCATTGTCGGCCTGAAACGAATCAGGAGAAGTTTTCTATTGTTCTCAACTTAGCTGGTTACTGTTAAAGGGAGTCGTTTGTGGTGTTGCTGAATTCACAAGGAGATCCTTGGTTATGAAGATGACAGATAAGACGATGGGCGTTACACGATTGTAGCGTCAATCACAATAAGGGGATTTGCATCGCAATGAACGCGTTGATTTAACATTGTTGCACATTCGCAATGTTCGAGTCCCACTTCTTAAGAAGGACGAGTTACTTCACATTGACGACGGAGACACAAAAAAACGTAGCTGAGTTAAGGCAATATCAAGTTTTAACAAAGTATTCTAGCCAGATCACAAAAGAAATAGGGGAAATAATGGAGGATTCATCATTTATGCCCCGCAAGGTAGTGTTGGACGCAACAAAAAGACATGTGCTTCTTCCTCTAACGCTCCGAGCATGATGGAAACTACATTTGCATGAGAATTTGCACTTCGACCCTATTTTATATGGTTATAGAGGATCAGAACAACACAGTAAACCTACTGTTGTGAAAATGTCGGACTTTGACTGCTATGACTTAATTTGAATCGAATTTTTCACCACCTCTTGTAATAATAATGAATGATGACTGTCACTCTGGGAGCTGAAATGGAACCTAAATATGGTGAGACCACCCATTGACATATGTCAGCCGAGAGAGGTCACGGTATCCTAACCTGATGAAATCGACTTTACGATATAACATGTTTCATAGTAGAAAAACCGATGATTGCATAACGATGAAATGTGCACGGTTTGTTGCAACTCAATATTTAAACCATCAGGTGATTAAAAATATATGAAAGAAGTGGAAGTTAAGTAAGTATATAAGTTAAGTTAAGTATATAAGAAGTGTAATCCGAGAACCTGTCAGATTCCTTCATAGATCTCATGCTGCAGCTGCTATACAAACACTTACATAATTCATCATTAGTTTTCTAAATAGAAGCTGATGTTGTAAAATAGAACAGAGGTTTATTAGATTCCGTGTTATCACGTGATTGGAGCACAACGGAGTTGATAAATGAGCTCTATGTCCCTATACTCAGAAAGGACTTCGTTTTTAGCATCTTCATGAGAAACCTTTACATCGATTGTCATTTAGCCGATTAATTGCGACCTTGTGAATACCAACATTTAGAGCTCGGGTCCAGAATCAGGGTGGCAGCTAATATGGGTCGCTGAAGAAGTTTCGAACTCGGAATCCTTCGACACATTTGTTCCAAGAGTTCATCTCCATATTACCCCATGTATCCCATTTTCGATTAAGCATTGCATGAAAGTTACAGCACAATCACTGTCTTCATGCGAAGACGTAGTTTGAATACTAGGAAAGAACATGGAAAAAGTGAGGCGATACCTTGACCTAGAACCATAAGTGGAATATTTGGACACGCTGCTTTCATTGGAAGTAATATCCTTCATCCTGGCCTTCGCTGATCAACGCCTAGATTGTATCCATAATCAAAATAGTATCTTTCTTCAAGATTATCTGAGCAGTCACTGCTCCATTTTTAATAATCTTGGGCTTCTAGGATGTTGTACATCGCACTGCGAACAAACAGAGTGGTTGTAGTACTGCCAATGAAGTACTAGGAAGCGATGAAATGACTGGTGTGGGATTCTGTCAATCGTACTGAATCATCGACAAGACCCCTCACGTTTGCATGACTACCGTTCGAGAGATCGTTCCGTCAATACGGATGAGTATAATGCGGATGAACAATTACATACAAATTGCACATATTATATGGCAATCAATATCGGCATTATGAATGCCTCACTTAGTCAGTTCTTGTAGAGGCCGAACACGGTACAAGTGGTCGTCGACAATGCGAATGAATTGGATTTTGTTATGCAGATGTATTCATCGGCCGTCGAGATCAGTCCGTCGTTGAATTCTTTACCTATCGCGTAATGATCGAGATTACGAAGTGGGCTAGAAGATGGATGTAAGAATCAAAGAAAGCAGAAAAAAACTTGAAGAACATATTTTTCCTGTCCTTCCAGAAAATCTGAAAATCACGATGGATCTTAGGACAAGCGCTTTGTAATGGATGTAAATGCTCTAGTTACAGCGAAAAAGGCGCTGCAGTTGATTCTGAATCTTAACAAACTGCTTCACATCTCTTCCTTACGTTACGCGTCCTTTTTTCGCATTTTCTGGGTTTTCTGCTACGGCTCAAACCTCACTAGTCATCTGGAATTCAGAATCGCGTGGAGATTTTGAAGAAATGGGATTTTCAGAAGTATATGCGGTCACATTGACTAGAAATCCTAAAGTCTCCTTGATTTTGTAGATTCCGAGGGAATCCTTCTTCGGCGCAATTCCCAATTCCTAGGCACTTGATCAGTTATCTCTATGTATTCTATACATTTGTATTTGCTTAAGGGGTTCAGGAAGAACCTGAGGTAATGTTGTATAGAGAAATTTTCTAGATTAGTGGAAATAAGACCTATTAGTTGTTAAACAAAGTAAAAAACGTTATGGTAAACATTCGCCCTCATTACCTTGTTCTTAGAAAGCACATTATAGAATAAATGGACGTTATCTTTTGATAGCGTCGAAAACAAAATGGATGCATTCGGGTTGTTAGAGCACATTAATCACAGTGCTAAAACTCACAGTCATCGATTGCTTAACGCCTAAATCAAGAGACCTTCTAATGGGAAGTAAAGTGTGAAAGGCTTCATATAAACATCGTTTTGTTAATTTGGTACCTTGCTTATAAATGAAAAAAAGTTACGTTAATTTTTTAACCTGCTTAGGTTTTCCTATCCTATCTTTTAATATCCGGAAAGTGATGCTAGACAGGACACAAACCTCTAGCTTGATACTCTGATAGATCTCCGAAACTTATTGCCCACATAAGATATCCCTTCATCCACGTCTAGGATGCTTAATTGAGTTCAATGAATGAGCTTTCTCTAAGGTCCGAAAGCTTTACTCTTTTATATTCAACACGACGTAACTTTTCAGTAGTGCATTACGTCTCTTTCAGCTAGTTGTTACGGAGTGGTCATTAAAGTATCGACGGTTGGATGAATTGGTATGTGGCCAATTGGTTGTTGAACCGGTGACCTTGTCTGTTGCAAAGCCACACTACTGAATTGCGCCATGCCGTACCACTTCCTCTCACTCACCGTATCGAATCCGAGTGTCTGCTTAATGCAACTCAACGATGGACATTCAATTATCTGAAGTTGGCTTCCGGAGTAACATTGAATCGCCCCACAAAGCATCGGTAGCCAAAGATACGAAAAAATCCATAGATACATCCCGCAGGAAGCTAAAATTAGTTGTAATGCGTTATTACGTTAGTACATTAGTAGGATTTTTCTTCATCACATCAACGTCATACGAATAGATTGAAACTACATTCGTTTTCGAGATAAAACTAATGGATGAGGATTTAACTCGGCAAGTACTAAAACCTTTTTTAATAATCTCGTTAATTTAGAGTCGTTCAGATCTTCATAAACAGGGCTGAAATCGATGTGTTAGAAGATTAACTGAAGATGAAACTGAAGCTGCCGACATTGAAGACAGGATTAGAAATGCTTAATTTTCGAAGATTCAAAAACAACTGAGGAACCAGACCCATAGAACACTCGAGAAACATGCATGAGAACAAGGAGATGTTGATAAAAAATGAAAATTGCTGCAATCATCACTTCTACTTACGACACCTCTCAAGGTCTTTCACCGCACTGCTTTGGTTATCTTTGCTTTCCTAAGGCAATAAATTTCATTGTACGTCGATGAAAAAGAAACTACTTCTAGCCTGCATTTGTTATGCGTAATGAAAACCGGAGGCGGTATCTCCTGCAGCTACAAAATTGGTAGTATGCAATCTTAACCTTTTTATTTACTGCCTTCTACAATTTTCCACGACAGGGTATCACGTGAAATACAACCAAGATGATGCTGAAATCGCATCAGCACCGTGGACGGGTGATTGTTGATGGTAGCGATTGCTAGAAAACTAGACGAGAGGCAGGCGAAACGAAGGATGGCATGATGTGGTGGTGAACGCGTTAACCCCGGAAGAGGTAATAGTGAGTTCGTTCCCACCGCAGACAGCTGCGGCCCGGAATTTTGCAAATATCTCAGCGTCATCGTAATAGTACACGTTTAAAAAAAACAGTCGCCAGTCCTATAGTCCGTTTCAGTTTTCCAGCAATTTCTGCTTAACTTAACGAAACTTTATTTTTATCTTAAGACCTCCTTTTATTTTTTTGAGTTCTTCATGATTTTTCACATTATTCGATGATTTCGAAATGAATATCAACAATGTCGAAAATTCCAGAACGCCGTGAAGGAGTGCTGGTCTGATTGCATTTCTCGATGCGGTACTAATGACAGATGAATAGAATCGAGAGGAATAATAGAGGGCAAGAGTCGGAAGTGGAAAGAATGGAGAACGAAAGAAAGTGAAGTGAACAGGGATCGATCAGAAGATTATGCGAAGAAAAATGCACACAAGGATTGGTATTATAGAAAGAAGGAGCTCTGCAATGCAAAAAAAATCAACTACGTAAGCTTACTCAAGTGCTAAAAACGACGCTGTTTACATTCATCCAGAACGTGCTTCTCGTTTTGATTAGAATTTAAGCAGAAGCGATGAACCCTCGTCTCTTTTCCTACTACACTTGCTAAATAACTCAGGTTACCCAAAAAAGGCAAAGTTTGCTAGGATGTTGAAAAAAAATCTCCTTCAATCACACAACAAGAATTTGTTACGTCTTATCTCAGACAAAAAACTCAAGATGTAATAGAGCAAACTTATATCTTCAGATGAATTCAACGATAAAAAAGGACAGAGCGATAGTCTTTAAGCAATATCCAAGGAAATAATTGGAAAGTTGGCACCAAACTTTACCCTGAACCAAAATCGATGATCAGCATCCGTTTTCCCTCAACTTGCTAAGATAGAGATAGTTTCTAGATAACATAGATAAAGTGCAAAATGCAACCAGAAATACTACGTTATGCAGTTCTAGACAAGAGTGGCTTCATTAGCATGGTTTCGTGGCGTAAGGCATTTCCTTCAATGAAATACGAAATAAGGGAACACGACAGAAGCATAGTAGGTTTTTACGGCGTCGTGGAGGACGCGATCACCATAAAGCTCTCTGTGAGACAAATTCGGTCCCCCACAGCTGAAACTAGCGCAATTATTGGATTATTCCGAGAGGAAGGCATCAAGTTGCTTCGACACCAACAAAAGAAGGCATGCTGAGTTCGATGGGAACGCTACTAAGCATAATCACGGTGGCAAACTCAGTTTCCTTAGTTATTCGAGCACTTAGAACCCCCAACTTATGTGCTAGTAGTGACTAGTTTCTCTAACATTTCCTACTTTTAATCGCTTGCCTTTTTCCCCGTTTTTTCCTTCTTTTCTGTTTCCCTTTTCTTCTGAGTAGAACACGCGTGCTTTCCACACATTCTAGTCCAGAAAAGGTTTATGGTCAAACATTAGTGCAATCGAAAGTGGAAGGAAAAGTCTGACGACTGAATTACAATAGGAAATTGTACGTTGTAAAGAACTCTCCAGAGAGCAACGATCATAAATCGAAGAGATTTGTGGGAAAAAATGCCACACTAAAACATTTCTGCCCACAGGGAACCGCTAACATAATAGATGGTTAAGTGGGAAGGACAAATATAACTGCTTAAGAATTCTACAGCTGAATGCAAATGATTGGCTGTAAAATAGATTGGTTACAAATAAACGATAGTAAACTGGTTGCAAAGAGTTTTTAGGATTTTCTGTCGTTATTTGATTCTAAAGGCGTATAGTTTACGTAACTAGAAGGACCAGTATAAATAAGAAGAATATTTAATCATAGGTTGTAGACCGACGTTTCAACAATGATCAATACTCCCACTACAGTAGGAATACCATGTGTGCTACCTAAGAAATGACAAGGTTTATTATATTATAACAACGACATAATTGTTATCGACAACTATATAAAACTGAATATAAGCCTATTTAAAAGGATTTGAAACATCTTGAGAGAGCAATTACATCATCTTTACTTGAAACGTTGACATTAAAATTAAAAGCGACTCCAAGCACAATAGTAGTGTGAGTAGTACTAACTAATTTTTCATCAGATTAAATCACAGAATTGCTCGGTCGACCACCGTATAGGGTTTTTCTTCCACGAAACAAAACTACATGGATAAAAAATAGCGATTTTGAACTGAAGAAACAGATGAACGGACGAAGATAATCGACCGGAATCCGTGAGGTGGTAAGCGTAAGCCGTGAGGAGTGCGAAATCCGCCGTGAACGAGTCGGAAGAGGCGGAGCGTAGTCGCCGCCGTTATCGGAAAATGAATAGAGGAGGACGATCGGACACGGTTCTCACAACGGATACCATCCTTGTCCTCTTGAACCAATTACTAGAGTGCCAAATAACCTCGCACGATTCACCTCAACGCGCACCTCATTCAAATGATAACAAATGAAAGCCTCGCGATTGCTGAACAAGAAAAAGACACAGATGAAAGCGTTGAAAGGGTGACAGATAAAAATGTTATGATAACTTCTCCCCCATATTTCTGAGACGATTATTTGGATAGGAAACGTAGTAAAGTCAGTGTTCCAAGTTCAGCATCTGTAGTAAGCTGAACAAAAACAATGTGATTGTTGTAGTTTGCAACATCTCCATAACCATGCACATTAGTTTTCTATGTACTAGAAGTAGAAGCCGATTTTTTTTCAAGACGAAATACTATGTGCGTGTTTCAGTACATCGTTCACTCCGCTTGTTGGCTCATATCCGTCATCTGCGAAGATCTTCGGATTTGCATGTAGTTTTAGCTGCTACTTAGAGACTTAGTCTTCTTAATAAATGCCGTCGAATGCTGGTTAAGTTTATTCCTTCTAGAATGCTGAAATAGCTCTGTTAGAGTGTCCACGAGTCTTCACTACAATTAGTGACTTGATCTTGTAGATCGGAGAAAGCTAGAGAGCTAGTCCCAAACAGGTCTGTTACTGCTCTTCAGACCTTGTAGGGATCGATGACTTCACTATCCCACGACGAGGTCATACCCACAACATTGTGTTTATTACTTGATACTTAATACTTGAATGGCCCGTCCTCACTGGTTGTGCGGGCCTCAGCATAATGTCCATTTTTCGGAGATCTGCTGGTTAAGCCATTATAGTTCCCTGGAGTCCCGAGGTCAGCCTGGCCAAAGTCTGCTCCAGGTCTTCACCACCACGGGCAGTCGCAGCCCTTGTAGATCAGAGGGAGATTTACCGCCATGTGACTTTGATACCAGGACGGTGGTGGATCCTGGTATTGGTTTACTCTTAGCAAGGTTTCTCGATAGAAACGTCGGACTCCTTTTTAGCTTGGGAGGCCCTGTCAGGAGATGAATCCTCCGCTGTACACCGCAGTCCGACACCCAGGAACACCTTCCAGCCTCGATGAGGCGGTAAACCATTGGGAGGATTGCGTTAATTATTGCACATGATCTCGAAACACTGCGCTTCTCGTAGTAAGGAAATAAATCAGTTAAATAAAGTATAATAAATGCTGCATGGGTATTTATGAGCATTAAGGCTTTAAAAAGTAATCTCCTATAGCCTTTCAAATTTATTTTGATTCTTCCGATTTAGCAGATTTCTAACGGCATTCTTTAGACGAGAGTTATCTAAGTTTTGACGAACATGGGAGTCGTTGAAATCCTATCTATTTTCGAAAATTTTCAGAAAAAGCAAAGTTCTAAAATTTTGAAATATAAAAAATAAAGGATAAACCTCTCGATATTGATCAATCCCTGAGGGATGGGCCATGTATTCGACTCCATTAAGCATCGTGTGGAGGAGATGGAATGCATATCTGGCCTTTACAATGACTCGCGGTGGCCTACCGATGTATCCAGCCAGTGCTGCTATCCTCCAAGGCAAGTCTGGTAACAATTTGCCGACCCCGGAGGGATGGAAGGCTTGGTGGACCGTGGGCGGGGGATCGATTCCACACGTGTGTTGCAGGGCGCCTCCGATCACTGCGCCACACGCGCCCGTTAAGCTTGAAATATGCAACGAATAAATCATGCGATTAGAAGGGAGTGGTCAAGGTTATGGAAACCTCCATCGTGACATAACTTTGCCCGAAATTTTGTGAGGTTAACTTCTCCATACTTTATTTTTTAAAATATAGAGAAATTTTAGAAAAGTACACAATATAGAAAAATGCATTTCATTTTTTGAGGAATGTCTCATTATCACGTGTGATATAGGGTAGTATATAAGACTGCTATTCTGATGGGAGCGGCACATTACGCTTCCATGTGAATTCTGCGCGGTCGGTCTTCACGCGACATACTCAGTGGAAGACTCATAGAAAGCGGTGAGTGTGCAAAACTGTGTTCAATGCGATTGAAATCTTGGTTTATTGTTTTCTCTGTTTGGTTATGGAGGTGTTTGGCCGAATGGATTGCTGTCAACTTGACCTTTCCAGGCTCTGAAGAAGACGAAATGGATCCACGAAATGGATCGAAATGTAACCACCGTTTTGTATAGCTGTAATCAGTGACCGATCTATCCAACCGTAGCTATCAAAATCGGCAAAGACGATAAAAAAACATCAACGCGCAAAACTCTTGAGGCGTTTTGGATAAATTTCAAAAATCCAAAGATGAACCGGAAGGACGAATGCCTCACTATCACGCGTGACCTGGCGCCCTATTTCAAAATGATATTTTGACCCCGGGGCGTGTCTTGCTCGCGTAAACTACGTGTCGGCCAGTCCCGCACATAACATAACGGTGAGTGACCTTTCTGTTCAATATGGCGTCTATTTGAAAGTTTGATCTTCATTAATACTTTAACCTTCTTTTCCACCGAATAATAAAAAGTATTCTAACATAAAGTACGTCCAGGCTCTGAGGAAGGCGAAGTCGCCGAAACGTCAGCCATCGTTCAATAACATCAAAAACAACGACAACGACAACGACAACGAAGATCTGTACCAACCTCGAGTCAGCAGAAGATCAGTTTATAAGATCACATAAATAAAGACGATATCGCTAGCAAAACAAGGACTGTGTAATGTTAACTCTTTACTTGCGGCCTACTACAGTTTTTCATGGCGGGGTGTTATGCGAAGTACAACCACAATGATGCTCAAATATTTGCAAAACTTCGGACCGCAGGTGTTTGCGGTGGAGCGCTAACGCGCTATTATCCTTTCTGGGGTCTAACGCGACCGCCACCATACCATGCGGGTCCTTCGTTTCGCCTGTTTCCCACTTGGTTTCCTATCTACCAGTGCCATCAGCAGTCACCGTCTCTAGTATACTATATAGTCGTCGATTACCACGTTGATATTATTCCATTCCAATTTTCTTACTTGCAAGCCCAATAAACAGGTGCAGAAAGTCGTGCTCTGAATTTTTGTGTTTGTTGAGTTCTGAGCATTGGTGCCTCTGAGCAAAGGAAGACTTGAGGTTTATTGAATTGTCGCCGTTCCCCATTCACTCGCTAGACCTTGTCGCTAACACATCTTAGAATTGTAGGATAGGATGCACTCGAGTTAATACGACGCTTCCGTTTTCTACAATCAAGTCGAGAAGCAGAGCCATCACGATGAAGTACTTAAGGTTTCGAATGTACGGACGCTCCATTTTCTTCCATTTTTACACGAAGTAGAAATGTTCGCAATGATGGTAAGTTACGGACCAATAACTATAATAAAGAAGAAGTGGCGAGATAAAGACACTCTCATATAAGGGGACAAAAGTAGCCTTAGACTAACCAAATATTTCAAACCAAGCTTATTTCAGTAACACGGGAAGCGAAAGAGTCAAACATTCCACACAATAGTGATTGAAGCACGAACCGTGTCAACCAGAGCTCCTATCGCTTCCGGGTCGGCAAACTACTATCAGACTCACCTGAGAAAAGCTCTCTCAGATCCACAGAGGCCGACTACTTTCACGGTGAAAACTTAAGAACAAGTAAAGCTGTTCTAAGGCTTCATCCGGAGTTTATTCGTCTAGCATTCAACGCTATTCATTAATTAACGTAAAAACATTTCAAATGGTAACCGAACCGACATTCTTTTCCAAAGACTTTCTTGAGTGAGACGGATGCAGCTTACCGAACAAATGAAAGAAACAATCCAAATCCACATAATATGCGATGTCGGGTAAGGTAGTTTATAGCTTTATAGAAATAGTTTATTTCACCCAACTGAAGTAGACTGAAAATGTTTTTGTAAGAAAGTAAAAACGTCTTTGATTTTCGAAGTCCACTGTAGCAGTCCTAAGGTTTCTCTTAAAAACTCGATTTTTTTTTAGCTCACGCAATTGCAGGGAATCTAGGAGCGTTACGATAATTTTTCAAAATTGTACAAAAGTCCTAAGAAGTTGAAAACGTTTTCTCTGAGAGGACTTAGATAAATCAAAAAATATAATCTCTTTTGCAAATATTCGGTCACTGAACTCTGTAAGCTACTAATATGCTTCTCTTGTGATCATAGAAATTCGCTTGGCCTAACCATTCTCGTCATTGCGACTACTTAGCTAAATTTGGGCAAATCCATGCCACACACATAGTCTCATTGAACGCCAGTGCTAGATTCAGCGTCGATTTTCGACGCATTCTGGATAAATTTCGAGAATCCAAAAATGAACCTCATGGAAGAATGCCTTGTCATCACGCGTGATCTCACACATTATCCCAAACTGATAGTTTAGCGTGAGAGAGAGACACACATAGCCATCTATGTGAACTCCGTGCAGTTAGTCTCCACGTGGAATACTCAGTGGACAACTCATGGAAAAGTGATCGAAATCTAGATTTCAGGTTTTTCTCTTTTGACTATAGAAGTATTTGGCTAAATAGACCAGAGTTAACCTAACCTTTCAGAGCTCTGAACAAAGCAAATAAATAATGTAATCCTACCTCACTTTTAGTCATAAAGGAAAGAACAAAGTTTGGATTTTGGTTAGCATTCTCTGTCTGGAGAATTCTACGCAACAGGGTTAATATATGATAAAATCAAGCTCAAAGAGACTGTTGATAGTTTACAAAGGAAATGATACACAATTAAAAAGGGTAAAAGACCAAGCTCTCGGCTTTGATCAGTCCCTGAGAGAGGTGCCGTGCATTCAGCTTTATTAAGCATCGTTCGAGGTGATTGAATTCATATCTGGCCTTTACAATGACTCGCAGTGGCCTACCGATGTATAGAGCCGGTGCTGCTATCCTCCTAGATAAGTTTGGTACCTATACAAGGTTATTAATGAGAACTTTATCATCAGGGCCGATTTAAACAGGACACCTACTTCCACATCGCTATCAACAGGATGAAACGTCGTGAACAAAGCGGTTGTCGAAATTTGCCACATCGATCAGCATAGTCCATCCAAACATGGTTTCAAAAATTTAGCATAGTGCAAAACTCAGAAAGCGCTTAAATTCATTTTGCAATCATTCCTCACCAGGGTTATAAATGATTTCACCAGTGAATATAGGATGACAATCTGCTGTTCAGTAAAATCTACTTCGTTCTAAATCGAACATCGAAGTGCTTTCAACCTCATTGTTCATAGTAGCGCTACGCTTGAAAACACAATTAGCTTATCAAGAAGTTCGAAAGAAAAACCTAATTGTTAGCTCCGATCTGCTCTGCAGATTCAATCGATTTCCATTTGTACGTGTTCGGTCAGTTGTTTGAACTGTTTGCTTAGTACTTTCTCGCTCAACTCGAGCGTGCACAAACGATGTATGATTTCACTCTCGTAATAGAGTGAGATTAGACCGCCATTCATAGCCAAAACACCGGAAGACAGTGTTCCGATTCTCAGACCAAGCAAACCAGAACCCATTAACGGCATCACGATTGTTGAGAAGACGACGAAGCGCACTCATTGGATACAATGCCAACTAGAAGGATGTTCATTTTCCAGCTGCTTGCAAGCGTGGTATGTCGGGACATTTACAATTAAAAACAGGAAATTCAATACCAATAACTGATGAACTGGGCTTTCGTTTACAAATAATTCTACACCAGATTGTCACATAAGTTTTTTCTCGTGACTAACTTTTCGGCGCTATTTTCTTCATCACAACTGCAATGAAATTTATTTAACAACCTGGCACAAGCTAAACAACATAATAAGGTTCATCATCCATCTCAAGATCGAGTTAAAGTAAGCGTTTCGAATGATATTAAAAGTTGTAGCCATAAAAGATGATGAACATAAAGCTCTTGGCGTTCATAAGTCCCTGTGGGATGCGCCATGCATTCGACTTCATTAAGGATCGTTTGGAGGAGATTGAATGCATATCTGGCCTTTACAATGACTCGCAGTGGCCTGCCGATGTATCTAGCCAGCGCTACTATCCTCCAAGACAAGTCTGGTACCAATTTGCGACCCCGGAGGGATGGAAGGCTTGGTGGGCCATGAGCGCGGGGATCGATTCTACGTGTACGTTACAGGACGCCTCCGATCACTGCGCCACACGCGCCCTTTCCTAACAAAATTAACGCTAAGAAAAGATAATGTCATTTTCCTGCAATTTCAAAATCTAGTAAATTGTGTCGCCTTTTTCGCTTTCGACTTTTACCTTTGAAGGCAATAATTTCGAACACGTTCTTTAGAATGGGTTGCAGACTTCAGCTTATGAGAAGTCGAGAGGAACGGACATCAACGGTTCAGTGATAGAAGAGTGAAATGCCTTATTACTCTAAGAGAGATTGAGCTCGAACCTGTGTTCTGACCAACGATTTCACTGAAAGCGTTGAACAGTACACCGTAAAAAAGGAAGGAATAGAACTAAGACTGCAATAACTCCTGTTCGCAGGACTGTTTTCTCGTCGCTTCCGAGGACAATGTAGAAAGTCAAAAAATGAAACGAGCTAAGCTTTAAAATTTTAGTTAATCTCTAGTGTAGCTTTCGTTGAAGTAGTTACAGGAATAAACAACATAAACAAAGGCGCTTGTGTCGCAATGTTCAAAGACTTGCCCTGCAATCAAAGCAAATCAGGCTCACCATCTCTCCGTGATCAATAAATTGACAAACCACTTCCTTGAAAGCACGAAAGCAATGATATAATGCATCGACAATCCTCCAAAAGTCATTATTTTGGCCAAATATCCGTTCAATCACCTCTACGATGTATAATGAAGTGGAATGCGCAGCACACTCTCAAGAGATTAGCGTCTTACGTTTTAATCTTTATTCATACATTTTTTTGGCATATTCCGATACCACATTCGATGCGGATTCCAGGACTTCCTTCTCATCTGTGAAAACCAACGAATTTCGGCTGCCCTTCGAGGAATTTGTCTTTCTAGGGAATGTCGTTGAATTCTGGTCGTACTGTTCTACTTGAAGTCCTGGTACAGCTGTGCGATGGGGTTTACACATCTTCATCACCATTATCCACAAATACTTGTAATTTGGAAAGCTATCTCAACCCCGGAACGATGAAATGCTTAGTTGTTTCGGTGCAAGGTTGACCTAATGTTTTATGCTTATTGAACACAATCTCCACCACCCTCTTTCTATCCACAGAAATTCTCTAGGTATGACAATATCTTCGAGCAGTTGAAATCGCTTCTTATTTCTGTTTTAGTTAAGGAGTTAATCATTTGATGCCCATCAAAATGAAGAGAAACAAGATTGATAGAAAATATCTGAATCTGGCAAAGTCGTTACAAAGTAGAATTTTGGCGTAAATTTACAAATATGAACGTGGCCATTTCGGTGGCTATCGAGATATAAATGATAATCATATCATAAAACAGTTTCTGAACAATGATTTTCTAGAGGACTAAGGTGACAAGAGATTGGTATAAAGCTTTCACTCGGCTAGCGTTTCGGTGCTTTCGTGGCGTTCTCCATTCGAGCGATGCTCCCTCAACTGGATTTCACTCGATGCGATAAAGAACAACTACATCGCGGCAACGACCAGCTATTGACCAACCACACGGATCAACACGGCTCTGAAGACGAAGGCGTCGAGACGTTAGTCGAATAAAAGTTTTGTGCAAACCTCGTGACGGTTGTCATTTAGAAAATTATTGATTGTTGTTACAGAGGTTTAATAAAAGCCAGTTTTTAAGATGTAATTGCTGAAAATTTTTCGAGACCTTTCGGTGTATTTAGGTCTTACTTACTAATATTTTTGGAGTGATGCATTTAAATATCACATTTTTGAGAAAAAGGAGATAAAAAACAATATCAGCGTTGTTAGTGTTAAATGAGAACTTCATAACTGCAACCAGTGAACGCTATTTATCCGGTCTCGTTAATAACCCGGTGTAGAACAATTCCGGTCTGATCGTGGGGCGATTAACTCTACCATTGATTAGCAGGCATCGAGTGAATAAATGACAGACACCTAACAAATCCAGTAGTACCGAAGTAAAACTAACCTAATACACCTATGAAATTCGTGTGCTAAATTGAATTTACAAAACTATGAAAGGAAGCTTTTAGATCTGATTTCTATCCTATGTTTGTGGCATGCTTTTACTTTACTAAACACAGCACAGGAATATGTAATTGGGCGTAGAGGAATGCACACTTACATAGACATACGACTTGAGAGAGCCTTCTGAAGTATCCACACGTCTAGTACCAATTTTCCGACCTCAAAAGAATAGATGATTTGACGAATTGAAATTACGAGCACATGTGCACTGCAGATCACAAAAAATTGGATGCACATTATGCTTCCATGTGATTTCTGTGCGGTTGGTCTTCACGCGACATACTTGGTCGAAACCTCATAGAAAGCGGCTCTGAGGAAGGCGAAACCGCCGAAACGTCAGCAATTGTGTTCTAATAAATTCTATATTAACAACCTCGTGTCTGCTTATTGAAGAAAAACATTGAATTATCAACTCAAATCAGGTTCTAAGCACATTAGAAATATATTGTATTCCGGCAGCGCGCTATTAACAAGTTGCTCACAGTATTAAAAATCATATATGAATGCGACTGCCAAAGGTGTATAATATGGAATAGAAAGCAGTTAGTGAAAACATGCACATAAGACGAAATAAAAAATAAAGCGATGAAGCTTTTGGCGTTAATCAATCCCTGAGGGATGCGCCATGCATTCGACTTCACTAAGCATCGTTCGGAGCTGATTGAATCCATATCTGGCCTTTACAATGACTCGCGATGGCCTACCTATGTATCGAGCCAATGCTGATATCTTGTCAGACAAGCCCGGTACCAATTTGCCGACTCCAGAGAGATAGAAGGCTTGGTGAGCCATGGGCACGGAAATCGATTCCACATGTGTGTCGAAGAGCGCCTCCGACCACTGCGCCACTCGCGGAAAAGTGGTTAGTAGAAAAAAAATGGTAAGTGCTGATATCTCCATTAGAGTAAAAACTTGGCTGAGAGACAGACAAACCAATGACGTCGGTTGCTCTGGTGAATAGCACGTGAGCCCTCAGAAAGGCTAATTTCAACTTCGAAGCCTAGCTGAGGGTCCCAATTTTACTCACATCCCAGCAGCGTCACGGTCGTATTTCACAAAATGATCAACGTTGACCAAGTCTTCTCTATGGTTTCAGTTTATGCTTTGAACTTACTTTTGGAATTAGTACTATCTTACCAAATGGGGTCTCTTATTAATATGTTAGCATATTCCACTCCAAGTCCTGAAAAATGCGAACTGCTAGTCATTGCAAAGAAAAGTGAGTAACCCTTATCAGCCTATGACGAACCGCTCTTGAAAAAACAAAATAACTGACTTTTTTAAGCAGGAACTAGTCAGCAAGATCCAGAAAAATATCGTGGTTTTTTCATAAACTCAGGAGACATCTAGCAGATTTCTTTCACGGAATGCGATGATTAGAGACGATTAACGGGCTTAGAAGTCAAAGAGAGTCAAATCTTGTAAAGTCGAAGCCCATGCATACGGCCCAATCAAAGAGGAAGTTATCTGAAACGAAAATTTCCTGCTGGCAACTCGCTTTATTTGATGAATAGAAAAGATTTTGTAGAAAAAATCTAGTCCTGGAAAAATTCTATAGCAAGTTTTATGGCTTTACTTACCAGCTATTAACCGGATAACAACTCAAAACGAACCTAGGCTTCACTGATTGGCTCATTTCTGTAGTTTGAAGTGCAACTGTAAGTAGCAAATAAAGTGTCAGCTCAATTATCGCATCAGCTATTGTCCCACTGCTCGTTGAGTGGCTCAAGCAGGCGCCAATAAATCCTACATCCTAATCCATCCTAAATCTCCCTGTAACGCGCAAGATTAGGCCAGAGGGTCCTACTCTCACTAGAGACAGATTAAGGATCAAATCATTCTTCAAGGCTTTTTGTGAAGAGCTCTGACCATCGAGTCGTTGGTCTTCCTACAAGACGTTTAACATCCCGAGGAATCCAGTCACTAACGGCTCCTGTCCATCGGTTGTCATTCATACGCATTACGTGTACGGCGCACCCTATTTCGACAGTTTGGCGTAAAGAACAGCGTATTTGATCTTTAATCCTTGGACTAGCTCGGAGCTTCGGATTCCTTTCCTTAGTTGTCTGGCAGGTGATATTCCTAGAATTGTTCTTTCGATTGCGCGTTCTGTAACTCTGAGCGATCTTTCATCCTGCTTACGCAGTGACCAAGTTTTTGATGCATGCGTTAAGCCAGGAAGGATCATGGAGTCGAAAAAGTGAGCAAGGAGTCGGCTATTCTTTGTTCTCTTCACTACAGCCTCTTTAAAGCCTCCAAGCCGCTCTCTTCCTCCTGCAGCTCAAAACTCTGCTTGGTGAAGTGGCTGTCCTTCTTCCAATTTTTTATCAATCCTATTCAGGATTATTCAAATGAAAAGTTTGTAGAGGACAAACAGCAGGCAGATTGGACGGTTGTTGTTAATACCGTCGAAATCCTTTCTCGAAAAGTAACATGTTCTTGTTGGTTTTCGATTGAATAGGAGTCTTGAACCCTGACCCTTGCACAGGTAACCTGCAAAGAGTCGACCTGCTGTGTTGATGATTGGCGGAAGGTTCTTCAGGTGTGCAAGTCTTATTTTGTCCGGGCAGTGTAGTTCGATTCTTCACTGATGAAATAGCATGATGAATTTCAAAACGGTGAACCAATGGGACGACATGTCCACCCTTCGTTATTTTATGAGGGCTGAAAAAAGTGGCTATTGAAGAGATCCTTGTAGTAATCGTGAATGGTTCTCTCCATTGCCTTTCTGCAATCTGCAACTCTTCCATATGGGTTTCGAGATGCAATAATCTTGGCTTTATAATCGTCAAAGTTTCAGGGGCTTTGAGAAAAACTGGTAAAAAGGTAAGTAAAATGCAACTAACGGCAGATGGAATAGTGATAGTGATTGCTATCATCACGAACCAGGTGCTGGTCCGATCTTGGTTCAGGCTCATCAAGCCTCCGCGGCCAGGGAATTGCCACTGGACTTGTCCGAGAAAAAACTCTCTCAAGTACAAGTGGGAACGCTCTAGGCCGACTATTTCAGGACTTCAGGTAGAATGGGTGGACCAGCATTCTACGACACTCGAGATGAAATGGAAGTCCTCAAGCAGCAACCGAGGTAACACGTAAAAGTTGAAAGACCCTCGTGGATAATGGATGCAATGAAACGAATCAAATTTAAGAAGTTCTAGGAACCTCGCAGTGGATGTGAAAGGTAGGCTGTGTAAAAATAAAAAATTACAAGTATAAATCATTTTGGAACCTCACCTATGAATCTATCTCACATTTCAGAAAGCCAGGACTAAATTGAGAAGTCGGCTTTGTTGAATTTGTAAAACTAGGTGAAAATCAATCCGTTAGTGATGCTTTATTCTTATCAATGACCTAAGCATCTCGAAAATTTTTCAATAGCGTTAGCTGTACCGACTGTCATCATAGTGCTGGCCCAATGGTTAGAGCAAGCCTCCACTTCTCTCTGTCGACTGCATGCAAAATTCATTGGGTTCTGTTCGCTCCAGATACTCAGTGACCTTCATATTTCTTGTTTTTCCATAAAGAATTGATCATATTACTAATACTTTTACGACCATGCGAGGCGATTTCGATGTGTGCACCGCTGCTCGTTTCGGACAGCATATCTTGATCTCAATGGGCATCTCAAGTGCGCTGCAGTGACACGCCGTTCAGTGGGCCAGCCACGCAAAAACGGCCGCGGTCATGAATGAGTTGAACCTTTTGTATTGTATATATGTCTTTACGAACTCCCTTTTTTGGCTGACACAAGAGTGGTATAGATGTTCTCGCTGTTGTTGTTGTCTTTGTTCAATCGCTGACGCTTCGGCGACTTTGCCTTCATCAGAGCCTTGCACCAGCGCTTAAGCTTTATAATACATTTGAATAAACTCCTTTCTACTAAAAGATTTCTTTAATATGGTTACATCTTGCGGAACTCCATAGCAATAAGACCTTCAGATATTTGAGATTCAAGAGCAGCATTTCTCTAGAGATAATATCATTGTGGCCACGCAAGATGAAGATAGTAATCGCGAACATTACGCCAATGCAACAGGCCTTAACTCCTATTGCTGTCACCTTTTCAGTTACATTCTTGATCATTTTTATTCTATTGTGTCCAACAGTGCACGCCGCAGTATGTAGAGCAGGTACTGCCACCATGTATGAACTGTTCTTTTAGAAACTTATAAGTTAGCCGTTCACAATAAAGTGAGCTAATTCTACATCTATCTAGAATCTAGAATCTCTAGGCTTTAAAAACAACCTACCTCAATAGCCAATCGACGTAAAAAAAAATTTAAGCTGTAGTACTTACAAAGACTTTATGTCTTGCTATTTGAGCTATAAGGGGATGTAAAAACATAAACCATCACTTTTGGCTATTCCCACGAGATATTAAAATCTAAATGAACGTTAAATTTAAAGGTCGAATGCAGTAGGTAATGGCCTTGTTCTTGTGCTATCGGTCTCAACAGTCAAGCCAGTACCGTTCTCCTGTTATGAAATGGAAAACGTCACTTGGCCATATAAAAGATTTTCAATGGTACAAAGTAGTTTCCATACATGTCAATATAGGCATCACTTAAACCTATAGTTTTCTCTAAGCACGCTTAGCCCAAACTAATTACAACAACCACCTGTAAGGCGTGTGTAGCCAAATGGTTAGAGGTGCCCTGCAATGCACACTAGATTGGTGACTGGTTCGATCCCGAGCCCCAGCCTCACCAAGCCTTCCGTCCCTCCGAGGTCAACAAGTTGGTGCCAGACCTGTCTGGGAGGGTAGCGGCACTGGCTCTGTAGATCAGTTGGCCACCGAGAGTCATTGTGTAGGCCTAATATGCATTCAGTCACCTCTAACGATGAAGGACGAAATCCAATTTAGGACGCATGCCTCACGGATTGATCAACGACGGAAGCTTTATCTTTTGTACTTTACCTGCTCTAAGGATAGCTGCGATTTTTCTATTTCTACATTTAACTTTATCGAGCTTTTTCATTCTTTTTTTGAAGAAAAAGTACACTGTTAGTTTCATTACCGTAATTACGATAACTTTCCCATGAATTTAGGCGAATACTGTCCTAAAGGATGGCAAATTCAACGTAAGACCAATTATGATGCAACCACATGTGATATAATGGAAGGACGAAAATGTGAACCACCGTACCAATGCATTCACTCACAATGTGGCCTCAGTTTTTGTTGTGCGAAGCAGGGAATGATTTTTTTTCAAATAATTTGATCTCAGCACTTTCGGCTTATATTTACCTTCAAATGGGAACGAACGAAAGACTATGTTCGTTGATGGTCTTAGTCAATCACTAATCGCAGTAGTTCGTATTTTAGAAAGCATAAAGAGCTGGAAAGTGAAGAAGGAGAACGATGAACAACCGCTGGAAGACGATGAGCCGGATGAGCTTTAACAATTACTATTCAGTGGACGACAATGAAAATTAGCAAAGGCGAACGTACTATATTATTTAATGTCAATTTGAAATAAAGAGCTCTTTTACGTGTTCATATATTTAAACCGAATGCTCACTAACAACTGAAAATCCCACAAACCTTAATTTCTAGTTTTTGTTTTATTTTAACTACACAAGCCGTTTTTACGTGCTCGGGACTCGGCACTTCATGCGTCGCATTCGTTTCCTTGCATCCATCATTCATAAAGGTCTTCGAATTCGAGACGATTTTCTTTGGATTTCTGAGATTGCTGAGCTAGAGCGCCACCATTTGGATTGAGGAGAGTGAATTTTTTCCCGCATAAGTCCACTAACAATTTTTCCACTGCTTAAGGATTAGAGATTTGGTGAGCCTGGGGCGGGGTCGAACTGGCACCGTGCTAGTGATCATCAGCAAAACTACCACTACGCCACCATCCCTAATGTCACGCCTACAGCTCATCAAAAGTGTTGCTATTTCCAGTATCACTGGTCTCAGTGTTGTAGATCGTAGAAAAGCTGGGAATGAGTGCATTAATATAGAAAGCAGTTGAATTTTATACACGAATATAACACGCATTCTGCTCTTCAATTCTTAATACATTCACGGTGATGCACAGCGGTTTCAGTGGGAATGTCCCGGAATTAATTCAACTTCTTTTTGTACGCCTTGTTCTGTAATCCGGTTTTTCTGTATCCTTTAGCGGTAATCTTATCGTTTTTCTCAGTTGTGGTAAAACTGGAAACAGGGAGAAGAACGCGGAGTAGTGAGTGATGCAGACCAAGAGGAAGCAAGACCCTGTCTTGACGTCTCCAGCACTCACAAATTCAAATGGAAACGTCTTAACTCGGCTATTACCAAGAGTGCGAGGAGAATCAACCCAACCAGCATGATACGCCATTCATAAGGAAGACGAGAACCTTAAGCAGTAGCCAAAACAACGCGAGAAATGTTCGAAGCCCTTTCCGGACGATAATGCAAGGGAAACGAATCGAAAGCAGAATTGCTAGGATCCTCACAGTAGATTTGATGATGGGTCATCTAAATAGATGCTAATCATTTCTAGCAAAGTAAATAAGTCACATATGACAGGTATCGCTACTAATGCACTAATAGCCTCTTAAACTAAACTTTAAACTCTAAATCAAATTATCTCAGCTGATGTTGAAATTAATTGATTAAAACAGAAAGGCATTAGAATGTGAAAATCTTTGCCAACGAGATTCAAGCTCGTTTTTGTCCCATCAAAATGAAGTTGACTTTCTGGAACCGGCGATATATTTTTCCTTTCCAAAACCAATGCTCATGTTTCGATTGAAAAGGTAAATTAGAAGTGGGATTTCAACTAGGTGGTTTTTCTTAATGTACCGTTAGTTTCTGTAGCTGCCGATCATGCGTTTGAAATCCTAAATGTTCAAATTTGAACAGCAACATTCTGAGACTTCTGATTCCAAACAAATCTAGCTATTTTGCCGAATATCCTATTGAAATCGTATATACCTCTATTGTGATACAGAAGTCTCTTCGGCTCTCAACTACACTACTTTGTCAGTGTTGGAATTATCGTCTACCGTCGAAAAATGAGCTCCGTCTCAAGAATTTCAACAATTCTATACGCATAGGGTATGTAACCATTTCATGAAGACCTGCCATCAACGCTTCGACTTCTACAGCTCCTGGCAAACCTGTAACTTTACTGGTAGCCGTGATAGATTAATCTCCGTATGTCTTGCACAAAATGGCGCGTGTAACCTGGTGATCAAAGGCGCCCTGCAATACGCATGGGATTGATCGTCGCGCCCTAAGCCCACCAAGCCTTCCATGCCTCCGGGGTTGGCAAATTGGTACCAGACTTGTCTGGGAGGATAGCAGCATTGGCTCGATACATCGCTAGGCAACTGCAAGTTATTGTGAAGGCCAAATATGCATTCAATCACCTCCAACCTTGCTTAATAAGTCGAATACATAGCGCATCCCTAAGGGATCTCCCCATCTCTCATCTCATCAGAGAATCACCCTCATCTCCTCGCATCAGCGCCAAGAGCTTCCTTTTTTATGTCTTGTACACAAAAACAATATAGTTTTATTCATGTAAAGTTCCACCTATGAAACAAACTCGGTGGCAATGGCGGATCTCATACCAATTGTGAGTTTCCAACTTCCTACAATTGTAAGTGTTCGAAACGTTTATTCTGAAAGATACGTCTAAGAAGTGACTTCTATAAGCACTTGCTGACACCTTCGACGATTCCGCCATTACATTCTGCTTCACAAAATATAGAATATCTTTGGGAAAACCTCGCTAAAACCTAATACTACACAAAATGGCCCTGTACTACGAGGAATCTATTAAGACCTTTTTACATCAATATAGACAAGGCAAATGAAGATTTGCACGTTTGGGAACGACTTAAACGAAATTTCAATCGCACAACACATGCTACAAAATACGCTCACCGTCGCACACCGAGTGAACTGACTCTTCCGAAAAAGGAAAGTGTGGTTTTATACAAATCCTCTCGCTACTGGATTCAAAGCAACAGAATGTTGAGTAGGTAGTGTGAGCAAAAAACGAGGGCTGCCGCAAACAGCGACATACCAGTCCAGAATCACATCCAGAATCTCATCCTAATAACGATTAGGTCGATAACCATAATGTGCAGATGACAAAATAAACTTTAAATAAAACATAAATGAATGCCCAAATTTCAACATCCACCTCAAATAGAATAGGCTTAAAATCGGGAAGAATGAAGAGAAAAGAACGAAAAACGATGGATGATTACAGTACTTGTGGCCAACCAGTAACCAATTAGGAGCAGAACCATCAATTAAACGTTAACGTAACACTTTGTATAACAACAGATTCGAATATGATAACCGATGCAAAGCACACCAGTGGATAGAAGACGAGAAAGCAGAAGTCCAAAAAAAATTTCGAAGTAAAATCGTGTGAAATTTAAATCACGTTGTAAAACTTGTACGACTAAATCTTATCACAAGTCTCTAAAGTTCGAAGCTGGTAGGTACATTTACATAACCTGCGAGGATTATTAAACTTTGCGGTACATGCACGCTCTTTGTTGATAGAACGTCTTTTCTTCTTGGTCTGACCAGACCATCTCACTAGGCCAGCAAAGGTTGGAACTGCAGTATAATCCAGAACCTGTAGCAACAATATCATCTGATCAGTGATGAAATAGAAAGGTATAAGGAAAATAAGACACTTACTCATTAAGGATGATTTCAACTCACGATCGTCATACCCAGAATCAAGCAATGACCGCTTTGGCGATGGTGAAATTGTTGAATAATAGGGTGCAGTTGCAGGTAAACCACCAACACTAGGGTCAGTAGCTGAGTAATGATGCATGTAGGAATCGGAAGGTGAGCATTTCTAAATTTACAAACGTGACCTTATAAAGTGGAAATAAATGTTTCGATAAAGCTAAATGGATAAAGGTCTCGGAGTTGATAAATACCATGAGGGTTGCATCCTGCATACGACTTTCAATAACCATCGTTGGAGGTGATTGAATGCATATCTGGTCTTCACAATAACTCGGGGTGGCCAACCGATGTACCGAGCCAGTGATGCTATCCTCCTAGACAAGTCTAATACCAATTTGCAGACCACGGAGGGATGGAAGGCTTGGGGAGCTACAGGCGCGCGGATCGATCCCCTGCATGTATTCCACGGCCCCTCCGACCACTGCGCCACACGCGTCCATAATGTTTCAATAACTCTAAAAAATATCTCAAAACCTACGAGGACAGCACGCCCAGCTGAAGGGCGTGACTGGGAAATCACTTGCTCAAACATGCTATTGAAATCCTCGTTCGAAAGATCAGCGAAGCCTATATCATCGGCGCCAAAAGACAAATTACCGCCAAGTGTTCCAATATTGTCTGCAAACATTTGTGTGGTCATTCATGTCGCCTTGGTGATCATCTTAACGAAAACTCACCACAAGGAAGTCGAGAATTATACGAGGCGCATATCATAATATCATCAATATTAGGTTCTTCAAAAGGTATATCTTCTGAAAAAAGATACCGAATGCTAAAACTAATCTGACTTAAATGTTCAAAGTATTTACCAAAAGTTGGTGCAGTTTGAGGTACGACTTGCGGCGAGTAATCGGTAGCCGTGGCTAAATCTCCGTTGGTGGAGGGCCTAGTAATGGCAGCAGACAGAGAGGAGAGCAAACTTGAGGTGTCATCACATCCTCCATTGGGAAGCACAAGAGACGACAATGCGAAATTATCTAAACGAGATATAGTAAGCGTAACGTTACGTGAGAGAACCTTCTCCTGCTCGTTAATCTTACAACTAATTCTCAAATTTTGTGTTTAACTGAAAGTTAGCTTCAAAGACAAACTTTGAATGGCGTCTGAAAAACACCCTTTATTTCGACCTGAAGCAACTAACTAATCAACTCAGCATAAGAGGACGTCTTTGAATCTACACGTCAACCAAGGAAATAAATCGAAACGATCCAAACGATTAAAACACAACCAATTAAAAGTAGAACTATAAAGTATACTGACCTGGTGCACGAACGGTGGAAAGGCCTCGTGGGCGAGGGGAGGAGTGGTTGCGGCCCATACATCTATCACTTCCTCCACCAAAGTTCGCCTGGGATGGCAAGGACGCATCACGAAAGGCGCACTTGGAGGAGTTTTTAGCAAATGAAACACTCGACGATTCTGAAGTTACGACATCAAAAATTATTCTGAATTTTACTAAAACTTCATAAATGCAAAAACTTATGCCGCAAGAATGTGAGATCACGA